TTTTTCCCTTTCTTCTTTACTCCTTTCCTCCAATCTAGTTTCTCTTTGAAGCATTTTATCTCCATTACAAAAAAATCTATTAAACATTTTGTGTCTGACTGACTCTTTCAGCTTCTTATACTAGGGATAATTTTTTGATGGGACTGCTTTACACAAATATCATTAATTTAAAGTAATATATTTTGTGAATTTTCATTTAAACTGTATGTAGTGCTCCCCAGCCAAACCCCAGACCCGGGTATATATAGCACTCAGAAAAAAAAAAAAAACCTTCAGTATATGTCTTTAATCAAATAATACCACCATACTAATCAGCTAACCTACTCCCCACTACCCAGTCCAACATACCTTTGGGACCAGGTGGCCCAGGAAGTCCAATTCCAGGAATACCTGGTTCTCCCTTGCTACCAGGTAATCCTGGCACACCTGGTTGGCCTGGAAGCCCAGGATCACCTATGAAAAAATAGTTTTCAAACAGAAGACTTTCAAATAAAAAACCCAACAAGTGGTAAAGATGTTTTGACATAAACTTTTTACATACCTGGAAGACCTACTTCACCATCTCTACCTGGGTTTCCAGGCAGGCCAGGCTTCCCTGGCTGGGTTATGGTCTGACCTGGGTCGCCTTTTGGACCTGAGAACAAGAGTGAGCCAGTGTTAAGTGCAAAATGTTTCCTTGACTAAAGATATCTTTTAATTAAAAACTAAAAAGAGAATCATCAAATATCTTTTCAAAGTACAAAATAATAACATTCCACAAGAAAAAAATCTCAAACTATACATTTCAGGAGGATATCAAACAGAAGGGTGATTTTTACAGGAGAAAAATAGATTATAATTTTAATAACTTCCGTGATGGTGGATGTGCAATTGTTAATCCTGTCAACTTGACTGGATTAAGGGACATCCAGATAGTTTAGAAAATAGTATTTCTGGGTATGTCTGTTGGGGTTGTAGAAGAGACTGTTATTTCAGTCAATTTACCAAGTGAGGAAGATCTGTCCTCACCCAATTAGAGCCAGCATTATTCAAAAGCTGAGTGCCTGCATAGAAGAAAAAGGCAAAAAAGAGACAAATTTCCTTTTTCCCTCAGAAATGGGCCATCTAACTTCTGCTCTTGAACACTAGAACTCCAGTTTTCTGAACTTCAATCTCTAGAATATGCACAAGCGTCCTCCCAGGATGTGGACACTGAATGTGGATGTGGACAGGCCTGTGGACATTGAGTGAGCACACCACGAACTTCTTTGATTCTCCACCTCAAAGAAAATCAATCATGTGAGCTCTTACTTTCCAGAGTCACATGAACCAAGTCT